TGTATATGTGTAACAAATGTATTATTACCTTTCTTCTCTTTGTAATCGTTCTGATGCATGCGCTAACCATATTTTTATATGTTTTGATATATCAGACTCAATTGCCTGTGGAATATGTCGCCTGACAACACCTAATACAAAAATATTTAAAAAATTGTTTGAAATAATAAACAAAACAGGCTACGAATAATATGGACTTATTAACACGGTCAGTAATATTGTCTCAGTATCAATAAGTACTGACAATATCATTGATCGTGTGCGGTTAATATTAATAGATTAACGTAAAATCATAGTTCTCGAATATCAGAATCATTCAGATCATAGATCAGTATCACAGTAATAGAGCCGGATAAGATTCTCCTTAATGTAAAGCAATACTGATGTTCAAGTACCAAGAAATCCGGATAATCGTTAATATTTTACGTCAATCCTTTAATATTAATATTACGTACACGATCAATAATATAGTGTTTTTTATTGTCAATATTGTAAGACTGGTATTATTAATCGTGTAAAATCCATACAAAATATATATTACACGTTGGCTGGTGTTGACTAAAATTAACGCAATGCAAAAAATACATTTTTTCATGAAATAAAAAAAAAAGATAAAAAATGAAATATGTGAATAGAAAAATTATTTGAATAGTATTAGATATTTCAAAATGCAAGTTCTGATGTTTTTTTATTAGATTAATATAATTTATTACAAATTTTATTAAATTTTATACTTAAATTGACAATTAATGGATTGTGTCACTTTTCTGGTCGATATGCAATATATTTTCATATTTCTCTTATTGATATATTAATTATAGAAATCTATCTTACTTAGTATAATTTTCCACAAATATAACGTTGAAAATACATGCTTTTTCTTTCCGCCAAGCCAACTGTATTCTGTTGCAACATTGTTAGTTAATGTGCGCGTTAAAATATTTATAATAATTGATTTTAAATCATTGCCTTCTACCATGCTCAACATTTTTATCTAAAAGAAAAAAATAGACAATTAAATAAAATGAGCAATATCCGATAACCCGCGAATTTAATACGAAAAGTGGATGTATGTTATCGGGAGTCTCCCAATAAAATACATAACAATTATATAACAGGTACGTATTTGTTTTTATTATAACAAAATTATTTGAAATGACAATTTCTCATATAGATTTGCTAACATATATGTATGTAATATGTAGAGGCCTTATTTAAGCAAATAACACAATTTTGATTCGTCTAAAAACAAGAGAACAGTTTATTATTAACAAAACAAACCCGAAACCAAATCAAATTACAATATTTACACGTGGTCGACTAACCCAAAAACAAGAGAATCAACAATTAAATGTTTATGCTTCCTATACTCTTATGTTAATAAAGGTAATTATAAAATAAATCTTAAATTATAGTTTTAACATTATTTTCACAATTGATAGTTCGCTATTAGTTCTGACTTAATCCTTTTATTTATTCGGAAACAATTGAGGTTTTGTTTGCCTCTCAATCTCTCTCTCTCTCTCCCTCATTCTTCGACTGCTTGTTCATTGTGTGGCGCCATCTCCTAAGCGGTTTTTGATGATTTGCGCATGTGCATGTACACGAAGCTTACATGTATATGTGGTATCTAAAAAATTATTATTTCTTACCAATTTTTATAAGATTCATCTGTCTTTAAGCGGTGTTCTATGTTCTGTAACATTTCAAAATCTTTTATAGAAAATTCGTCTAGAGTATCATTTATAGAATAATCCTCCTTCTGTGATGAATTTGAAGTGTCTAGTCTAGTCAATATAT